TTTTTTTTTTTTTTTTTAGGTGATGTGGCATATGTATCATCACATATTTTTCTCCAGTTAAGGAGCCAGAAGATTTACTAATATGCCAAGGGCCTATGGCTCTATTTAGTTTAAGATTGAAACCAAAACAAATTTTTGACTGGAATGTGCATTAATTTGCTATATATTAAGTATAAATAACAATACTAGGCAAAAATATCCAAAAGATGTTTCATTAGTCCTGTAGTCATAGAATTAGCTGTATATCACTTTCAGATTCATAAAACAAAATGTAGCCCTGTTGAGCATCTTGACAGTGCATCCAAAATGTCACTCAGTTATTTCCACTCCTGAGTTAATGTTGAACATGACCAGTTCATTTTCAGTCTGCCCTTCTCTGCTCTTTTCTTCCATTTCAGCTATGGGGTATTCTGCTTCAGGTCAGAAGAGGAGATAGCTAAGAGACAGTAAAACTACAAAAGAAAGAATAGCTTGCCTTACTCTACCTGATTGCTGCTACTCTGTCTTCAATCCATAGATGTTAATGACCCTTCCCTCTTTTTCACAATCTTGATCTTCCACTAATCAAGCTATCTTTTCCTCTGGTAATCTGTCTCAGCCCTGCAGACTGTTTTTAGTCATGGCCCTGTGGAGAGGAAGGGGTTAATCCTGCTTTTGCTGATGTTTTACCTGCCTTCCCCCTGTCCCCCTACTTCTTCTCTCATCCCTCTATATTAGGAGCAAAGAGAATTGGAGAAAAAACAGGCTGCGGGGGAGGCAGGTGAAACAGCAGAAACAGAATTAATCCTTTGCTGGGAGAAAGAGACCTAGGACAGGTTTTAAAAGTAAAGTGTAAGATCAGCCTTCTATTTCAGCAGTGGCTGGATGGAGGGGAGAAAGGGACCCACAGCATTCAAGAATTTCTTTTAAAGCCCCCTGGCAGCATAGTGCATTGCATAAATCCAAAGTGGTGGGGGTGCAACGGCCCCCCCACCCCAATATCTCCCTCTGGCTGGGAGCAGTGTCACAAGGCAAATGGTAAGGTGATCTCGAGTGAATGCTTTGTCCAGACAGCAAAACCAGGGCAGGGGTGTTCAGCTGCCTGCCCACAGGTCAGAAACTTAGCAATGGCAATTAATATCACTACCCCTCTCCCACTGCCAGATTCCCAAGCCTAGTGCAGAGGGTCAAAGCCAGGCCATGCCCCCTTCCCCTACATGTCTGGATCAGGACCAGATTGCCCCCCCCACACCCCTTCACACGACTGTATGGGTCCCCACTGGTCCTGCCCTGGGCATCAGATTGGACCTACAAGTTGGATTTGACCCAGAAATAGACTGGGCACTGCCCATCTGACCGCAAGGTAAAGAGGTTGCGCACTGCTGGTTTAGGGCATAACAGGATTCTCCAGTGGTAATATTTTTAGTGTCCACCTGTGTGCTCTTCTTACCTTGATGCCCAGTGACTTGTGCCATTTTCCACCTAGCAAGCTTGCTTTCTGTCCTTTGGCAATTATGAGGCAGAGGACCCCTTGATCCTTATAGTGGATGTGAACATCTTTTAAGTCAGCTGCCTATTTATGGTAGTCAACAAGTCTTGCTTTGCATGAGGTAATAGAAAGACAGGGAGTGTAAGAGAATCCTAATTCAGACCTCCTGCTCCCATGCCCCTGAAGGGTTAGGAGCATGGAGAAGACAGCCAACTTCTTAGATGGTCTCCCAAAAAGATAACTGGTTTGTATATGTAGTCTGTCCACTGGGAAGCTAAACAGGTCACATACCTTGGTGAACCGCTGATCATTGTTCCTGCCGTCTTCTTGGATAGTCAAAAAGGAACATAAATTTGACTCACAACAGGGACTGACCTTTTTACACTTTCCTTTCCTTCCTGAGGTCATGTCCATGTCACGTGAAGCATTGCAGGGAGACTTCAGATCTACTAAAAGCACTTCAACATAGAGCCCTAGTTAGCCAAGCACTTCCCAGAGGTTAGAAAAGCTGAGCTCACCCCACCTAGCCTGGGTAATGGGGGTAGAAAATCTTGTATTTCTTTTTCTGTGTTCCTGTCTTCTCAATTTTGCATGTATACTGAGGGTATTGAGCAAGGAGTACTTTCTGCTTAAGGTCAGCAACTGAGGCTTCAGTATTTGAGGTATTCAAAGCTGGAGTGGACAGATCTTGGAGAAATAAACCATAGGGCACATAGCAGTGTCGGCTGAGTGTGCCTAACTGACTATGGGTTTTTCTAGCTCTGGCTTCATGGCCAGGGTCAGAAATGCAAGTAACATTCAGCTGATGCTGTGCGAAATATAAAGAGCCCATCCTCTTTTCAGAACAGCATTTTCCCCTTTTCAATTTCTAAGAAATCATTTGAACTGTGCTTAGAGGAAAAGAAAGTGAAAGCAAAGTTATTTTGGGTGTTCTGAGTAGTGGATTGGCTGCGGTTCGGTGTGTCAAGTTTCAGAGTCCAACATGCATACTGTCATTTCTGTGTGGGAGGCTTGGGGAAGGGGGTGGGGTGGAAACACTTTTGCTTCACTCTCTTAGCTCCTGACCCTGGTGAAGACAATAACAGACATCTTCTTCATTTGTTTCATTTGGGCTATGGAGAGTCACTATTCCAAATAGGCTGGTTATTGGAAACTTTTGGTTCTGCTATGCTACTGTCATGCAGGAGAGCCTATGTGCGGCCGGTCTCTAGATCTGAAATGTACTTTAGCAGGGTACTGTAGGGCTGTTTGCCCCAACTGAACAGCTGCTTGGTGCCTGCTCCAATTAACTAGTGTGTGTGACCTGTCATGGGCAAGGGAAACTTCCTCTCCATGTCATTGGCAATTAGCATTGCAGCCTGGGCTCTGCCAGGAGAAGCAGTCAGA